CTGTTTACATTTATGTTTATGCATATTATGGTTGAATGTAATAACAGGATTATCTTGACAAGACAAATTACAGGGATTATTATGAACTATATTAAGAAAGACTGATAATGTTATGATATATAGAAGAGAGTATGATATTGATGATATACAACCGCTATGACTCGTATTGATAGTTGGACTTAATATAGTATTATTATATTTATTGAACTTATTGGCTTGTTTTAAAATTCATGATCATGTATAAAATATTTTTTAAAATTCTTTGGAATCCAATTAGGTAAAATTATTTTTAAATATTTTTTTTGTTTATTTTGATTTTGAATATCTTTTTTATATCTTATCAATTAATGGGTCAAGTGGAAAAATGTTAGATTTTGTGGCTCTTTATTATTGGATAAGATATATATAATATAACTAATTGGATTCTGATGAAATATTTTGGCCAATAAAAAAGAAGTTCATTTAAAGTAGAATTCCTTAGAAGATAATCTTGATGGGAGGAACTCTCCTAATAACTCATCCTAGATCGCTCTCACCTATATATAGACAAAACCTCTATGGACTGAATAATAAGAAGAGAGAACATCTCACAGAGGTTATAGGTTATAGTTGAGCGATTACAGTCTTCCCCCAACTCTTCTCCCTAAACCATTAATATAGGTGATCCTATGAAAGGATAGGAAGTGGTCCTGTGAAAGGATAGGAAGAGAGGAGATAACATCAAACAAAGATTTTTTTTTTTTTCCAGATGATATCAAAAGATATGTATCATTAAACCATATCTAGGTATTTGATTTCTGACATAAAAATTATTTTCATATTTAATACAACATATTTTTTTATGCTTAAAGTACATTCACAGCACTCTCTCACGAGGTTAGGGCTCGCGCTCATCTCCGCTCATTCACTGTATATTACATGTGGTTTATCTTTAAAGTAGTTCTTCTTTTTTTTTCTTTTTTAAATAAAGTTAATTGAGTTGACTTAGTAAACTTGAGTCGTTCAAATCAACCCATCTTACTGAATCGACTCACACGTCAACTTGATTCCACCCTTTTCACGTTACTGGATCTAGCTCAACTCACGATATTTTATGCAAGATGTGATTCTGTACGTATTCTTGGTATGAGTTATCATAAAAAAGAGTATTTGTATACGATGACAACTAGAAAATTGAGCAATCCTGTAAGCTCTCATGATTAATCAAAATTCTCATGCACAACCATTATTATACAACCTAACAATTAGTCATATGTACCAGGTGTGAAAAAGTAGAAATCTAGGTTAAAATGTAGTTGGTTCACTCATTTCTACATATGAAGGCTATTTACACTAAGAGAAGTTTAAATTTTATTAAGTATTTTTCTTAATTTTCCTTGATCGATACTACCAAATATGAAGATTGACTCACAGCATAAAGAGTCTACAATCTACTGCATACAAAGTCTTCACAAACAAGTACCCTTATAATACCATTGCAAAATCATGAGATACATCAACTCGCGATACTATCTTAGATCCTATACAACCTGGGGTTCATAAGGTTCTAGGGTTATGATTTTGGGCTTATGGAAATGTTAGCGTTAAAATCATGATTATGCTATTATACAAAAAGTTTTAATATCATAAATTGAAATCAAATGACGATAAATCATATTTACGATGTATATCTTTTCGATACTATTCAAAATTTTTTTATTTAATATGAAAACATCAGATTTGACGACTATAGCGAGATCGATCTATAAAAAGAACTAGACTCATCTTCTCTTCCTTCATATCCTTTATAGGACTGTAATGAATTATGGATTAAAGACAGAGGAGAGATAAGAGAAGATTTATAATATCTCAATAATATCACATCTTCACATTGAGTTATAAAAGATTATGTCTATTTATAGGTGGAAGTTCCGCCTATCAAAATCATTTCCTAAAATTTTTTACCATAATTAAATTTATTTTATATTGATCGATAATCATAATTAAAATCCATTCATATTTATAATATATCTTATATAATTAGATAGTATCATAAAATCTAACATTCTCCTATTTGACCATTAGATGATAAGATATAAAAAAATTAAAATAAAAAAAATTAATCAAAAATATATTTAAAAATTATCGATATGAGATCCAATCCACACATATAATATTTCAAAAATGTTATCATCTAAAAATTGAAGATTAATTATGAATTACTTTTATAGTTAATTAACTTTTGTACCTTGGTATCTATGTTTTAAAAAATTATATTGATAATTCTATAATTACAAAAGTAAAACATCTATATCCATTTACCATAATACTATCAGTTTTATCAATAAAATATGAAAACAATAGATAAAAAATAATTTTAACATTCCAATTAGTGATGATAGACAACGTTAATGATAGTAAACGATAACGTCGCTGAAAACCCGAGTGACTATGAATAAGAAAAACAATAATGAAGGTAAAAATCACTTTACATCTACATCGACGTAGTTCTCGAGCAATGTCGCATTGACATCAATATAAATGCAAAATGATCTTCATTTACAATAACTACCCATGACCCCATGTTATCGTTTGTTATTATCGATATCGTCTATCATCATTAATTAAAATATTAAAATTATAATTTTATCATTTATTTTTATATTTTTATTTATAAAATCGATGAATAAATGTTTTACTATATAATTTTTTAAAGTATAAAGATTGAAATAATACAAATAATTAATTATAAGAAATACTATGTAATCATTAAATAGGAAATCGCGACCAAATGCATGACAGGTGGTATCACCCAATCCTCATCAGTCAGAAAAGCCGAGAAGAACATGCCACCCACAACAACATTTCACCAAAAATCTCTAAAAGACAAACCAAGGTTGAGGAGAGGCTGTCCTCCTCTTCGTGCCTACCCTTTTCCAGCACAAAGACCGCAGAGAACCCAACGAAACAAAAAGGTTACTGAGAGAGAGAGAGAGAGAGAGAGAGAGAGAGAGCGCACCGCCATGGTGTTGCGGGCACCAACTTGGCCATGATAAGCATCCCTTCACCGATACTTTGCCCCGAAGCTAACTAAACTAAAAGAATTAGAGCTTCCAAGTACATACAAATGGAAAAAGAGACTCATTAGAGATGTACTCAGTCGACTCCACATTGCTGGTAGATGAGCGATTGCTTCCTGGGGCTGATCACGATTGCACAATCCACCGACACCTATTAATTTAAAGGAATAAGAAGGATTTAATTGAATATATATTATATATTAATTCAGACAAAAATGATCATTGTATTTTCGTCAAATAAGGGTAAAAACGAATCGATGTTATCTAACGAGAAGTAGGTCTCATGATGGTATTGAACATGCCGTATGAAATGATCAACCTATCATAGTCCATACAAGGAAAAAGATTCCCAGTTGGAACCATAAGAGTAACTATAGTTTCATTAATGTTGATTATTTATGTGAAATCAAAGATATTTAGAATTTGATCTCTGATGACGCTTTAAAGAAAAAAATTTTAACAAAAAAAAAGGGGGTTTATTATAGACTCCACATACATACAACTGCATTATATGAATATTATAATATTTTTCCGTAAATTATTAGAAATTGTCCTACATGAAACCTCTTCTATTCCGTTCTTACGAGAACATTTAAGCTGGATT